CATTTTGTTGAAGAGAACTAATATATATGATTATTAACAGAATGGGGGTTTGTAGAGATGGATTCATAAGTCGAATAAAGCTAGACTACCATTGAGAACATGGAAACACTGGATGACCGTTCCATTTTAGCTTGGGACTCCTCAGAAGTGCGCATCCACGATCCCACATGCGAGATTCAAACCCAGAACCTTCAGTTTCGTGATTAGCTTCAAGAGGTATTTCCTGGAGCTCTAATGAGAAGATATAACTAGTGGAGTTCAGCCGTGTCAGTTGTGAGGCAGTTGCTCACTGAAGGCATTAGTTAACGCAATGTCGTTGTCTGGTTGAAGTTAGATATTGGCTCAGAGGTCTAGATGTTAAGCGTCCACGCGCAAGATCGAAGGTCCTGGGTTTGAATCTCGCGTGAGGAATCGTGAACGCGCACTTCTGAGGAGTCCCAAACCAAAACGAAACGGCTATTCAGTGCTTCCAGGTTTTCCATGGTCGTCTAGCTTTAATCGACTCATGATTTCAACTAATATATATAACTTAACTAGAGAAACCAATTATGTAATTAGAAATGAACTAAACACAATTTAATTCTTTTTCCAATATATAAATTATTTCAAAAATTATTATTAATGTTTAGTTAGATGATTAAAATGAAAGTCAAATTTCAACATGAATTAAAAAAATAACTGAGTGTCAAATCATCGTTGATAAAAACTACTGGCGATAAAATCATGGAAGTAAATATTTGTGTATTTTTTAATGGATATCCTATAGTTAAAAAAAAAAAGTTTATCCAGACTAGTTATGATAATAATTTAAAGTAAATAACATGATTGAATGATCATTTTAACTTTTAAACAATTAAATTATTCGAGACTAAAATGTACTTGTTAAAATTAATGTGATTTCAAAATTTAGTTTTCGTATAAGTTCATAACCTTAATATTACATAATCAACCGATTGGGGCTTATATTGATGATGATAACATTAATGATAGGTAATATTCATTGTTTTTTTCAAATGAATAAAAACTTGTATTTCAAATAATTTTTACATCATTTTGCGATTGATTTCACCCAAAAATTTATTTACTTTAGTGTAGTAATAATAGTAATAATGAATCTATGTCGTTAGATGGTTGAGAGTTGACAAGAAATTCCTGACCAAAGTTTCATATTACTTATTACTCATTATCAATGTTTACTTTAAATATTGAGGTAAATGATGCGCTTTATATGACTTGAACCAGAGTCATTTGACTCCAAAACCTAAATTGCTACTATTGAGGTAATTGAGAAGCCAACGATCTCTTGTAGAATTGAGGTATTCTATTGATCTTTGAGTGGTGCTCAATATCATGTTTGTTTTGTTCTTCAGTACCGATCAGATTCTGTCGATAGTCAAATTATTATTACATTTAGATAAAACTAAACTTGAATACAACTTTATGTTCTGTAGCTTATTAATTGGTGAATCATCGAACAAATCAAGAGACAGTCAGTTAGCCCTAATTTAATATTCCTTATAAAATTTCCACTGAATCATACCAAAAGTCTTCAGGTGTTGAGGCCAATATATTTACTATGTATCAATTAAAAGGAATCCAATGTTTGATCTTTTTTTAGGTTGGATTGTTCCTCTCTTTTTAACATGAACTAGACAGAAGAACAGAGAGAAGAATTTTCTTTTCATTATTTCTATATAATAAATACCGAATTAAGAATTTTTAATAAATTAAACCGTTCAAAATATTGACATATTTAAAATGATCCTTTATTTCTAATCCCTGTTTTGCCATGAACAATTTTTAAAGAATTTTTATATGAAGTTTATTAAATCCTTGAAAAAATATATAAAGAAGAAGAACTTTCATTAACTTCAGAATTAAAGTTCAATAGTTTACCACCAATCTCATTGGAATGTATTCAAATCTTATTGGTAGAATTCATCATTATATTCAACAAATGAAAATATATGATAAAACTTTAATCTTTGTAGAAATATCATTTATTAGTAGATTTACTTATCAGTACATAACTCTTTTACTTTTGTAATAATTCTCTCCCTCTCCTTCTCTCGCTCTCAAAATTGTTAATTAGTTAGTCAAGTAAGTAGAAATCTATTTTAACAATAGAAAAATAAAAACGAAGGCATATGGTGATCTTATTTTTTTTTTTTTTCTATTCACCACAATAACGAGGAACTGTTCTCATGTTAATTTTATTTTACTAGAACTATTATTTCACTATTTCCTAATTAACATAAATATTTAAAACAAATGATAAGTAGGATACATGAAAAACAAACCTACAAACATTGAGAATATAAGAAGAGAAAGAAACAAATTAATACAAACATTAACTTGGTAACATTAAACCACAGTATTATATTCATTTATAGTTATACACATGAGAACTTATAGATGAATAAATAAGTAATTTGTACCCCGCCTTAAATGTATTCATTAAAATTGTAACATTTAATAAAACCTTTAACATAAGTTAAGATTAAAATCTTACATATTTCACCTTAAAAACTTTAAACAAAATACATTACAATTACTGATTGAATAGATTTATATAAAAAGAGAAAAAATTGCAAAGATGTATTATGTCTAAAGATTTTTAAAAAATTCATAACAATAAAAAAAACTAGTTGCACGTTTCTTTTTGCCCGAAAAAAAGAAAGGAACAGATTGTACAGAATACAAAAAGTTGATAATTTAAATTTGTCAATGCTACTTATTATTAATATTATTATTATCTAAGTAGATAGTAAATTACTAAAATGGATAGGGTGGGTGGGGGAAAATGAATGGTTGAAACTTTGTAAAGAGAAATATAAACAGATAAACATTTTATTCATTTATCAGTTAACCTTGAATTTAAGTTAAATAAATAAATGTATAAGCTTAAATGATGAACCATTTAGATAAAAATATGATGAAAGATTGAATTACTAATTGAATAAATGTCTGTGTATACGTATTTACTTATTTGTCTATTAGATTTTTAAAAAAATAATTAAAATATATAAAAAGGTCAAAAGAAAAACTAGTGATATGTATATATGCATGTACATGGCCACGTGTCTTGAAGTTGGTTTGATAACCAGTGTCAATAGTTATTCTGTTGCGTTGATTAGTTTATAGTTTAAACAAATGAGAAAAGTTCAATAAAGAATTGACTAAGTAGATAAGTGAATGTTTTATTAAATTAATCCACAGTTTCAATTATTATTCAACTACATTATAATTTAATCCAAAGAACACTTGTACTGTTGTGAAATCAAAAACAAAATTGTTGACGCTCTTTTTTCTTCAAAGCTGATATATTTAACCACTGTACATTATTAATCTCATATATAATTATTCCGAGAACTCTTAAATCTTCCAAAGTACATGAGAACTTTCAGTTATTGGATTGATTAACAATTTTTTTTCATTTTCATGAAGATTGTGAGTGAAGTGATAAATTTATAAAAAGTTATATTTTGTCTGTATTATATTTTACCAACAATAGTAAACAACCTATTACCATAAATTGAAGATTCCATATTGTGAAAATAGTAAAAACAATCTTATGTTTTTCAAAATAGATTAATAGAACACATAATTTAAGAGAATATTTTAAAAGAATCGGATTTTTCTTAGCCTGTATTGTCTAAGTAATAAAAAAAAGAATGAGAGAAAGAAAGTAACCCATATCATTAAACAAGTAAATAACAAAATAGTGAATGAATTATCCATTAAATATTCTTCTATTAATTAATAACACTTTATCATGATGTTTAATTGATATAAATATGACAACCAAATTATTCTAATTTAGTATTAGAAAAGGTAACACGGTAATAAAAAATAAAATCTAATTTAATCAACAGTAATAGAAACATTGGTAACATTCTGAAAGAGATCAATTTAATGATCTTATAAATTTCATATTTTTCAAATATTTAATTATGATAATATATTTTTCTTAATTTAGGATTTATTTTTCTCCCCCCCTCTGTATATCACTTTTCTTTTGATTCATTTACATTTTTTTATCTCTATCCTTAACTTATTCTGTATATACATGACATTTATATGTTTACGATACATAGTAAAATTATATTGTTCCTAATAATGTTATCTGAAAGGAAATATCAATAAAATATAATTGCTTATTGAATAAAATGAGGTTAAAAATACTGATCATTTGAATATCTTATAGTAGAGAATATTGATTTTAAGTTATTTAAAATTATGATGGTAATAATAATGATAATGGTTTCAGAAGTGGAAAAAAGTGTACTACAACTAAACTAGGAAATTACATTCATTTCTTGATTCATTTATTCTCCATTTTAATAATCAATTAAATAACCTAGAAATAAAGTATACTAATTCATGATTTTATATGTAAGGCAAAAACAAACAAACAATGGATGTACTTTGTAGTAGAACTGAGTTTAGATCTGGGCTAGATTTGGTTCTCAAAGTGGTATATTGAAAATGAATACAATAAATTAAAGGAATTTTTTATAATTAAAATGTTACTGTGCAAAAAGAAAACTTAAATATGGAAAGTAAAACTTTTAGTGGTTAAACATTACTTACATTAATGAGCAATTTTCATCAGTGATGTGATTTAGGCATCTAATCACAATTTTTTGACTACATGAAGCTGAGTTTGTTTACTCTCCAGAATAATTTTAAAAAGTTATATGCAGAATAATGTTTATTGCAAAGGTTCAGTTCAAATTATTTAATCAGTAAATAGTTGGATCTGACAACTTATCTTATATAGTAGTATCATTAAAATGAATACGGTCGTAGTAAATTCAAGCTCAGATTACATAATACTTCTTTTAGACATAAACTCGGCAAAATTTCATTGGAATTTACATTTAAATGATAGTTCGTATTTAGATTAGTTGAACAGTGATTATGATAATGTTATAATCAGTGTAGTCCTCTAAATGATTATTATTAGCATTTCTTTGTATTTGTTCTAATTTTCATAGGGAATTTTATTACATTCAAATGGAGAAGTATGCACGAGTTGCCATATCTGAAGGAATACGTATTGCTGATGAAATTCATGTAACAATTGAATCGGAAATCTACAGAGCTTTAAATTTACATTATAATCGTAACCAACAATTAGAGGTAAGTGAAACTATAAAAAATTATTTTTAATGTTTGTATTTAATTTGCATTACTGAATAGGCTCTTACATCTAATACTTTAGTAATGTTTGTACGTCTATGTTCTTACAATAGTTCTTTACTAGCGATTAAACTATATAGTTGTCATTTAGCGTTACTAGAATGTATTTTTTGATATTAGTTGGTAAATGAAATAAATTAAAAACTAAACAGAATTAAATGAATTTTTAACAAATGCATAACCTGAAAAATCAGAGAAAACGAATCAATACTTATCTGTAACACCCAGATAAACATTATTAATTTATTTTTAAAAACTGCAACAGCTTACAATTGAAGTTATTGATTTCGATAAATTAAATTCAGTTAGGAACATTAATTATATTCATAACAACATATTGATGTATTCAGAAGGTATTTACTTGAGGGAGGACATGAAAATAACGATAATATAATTTATAGGGTGTAATAAGTCAATCACATCGTGATACCGATGCAAATAAAACTGGTTTATTTTCTAAATCTATGATATGTAACACATTTTCTTAAATTATAAATTTGTTCATTAATAAATTGTAACATGATTTGAATACTTTAATGTATTGTAGTGATTCCTTATGTTACATTAATTTTATTTAGTATGAAATGTTAAGTTCTGTATATTAGTTTATTTCCTCCTAATCTACTGAGAAACTGTATCATTTTTATGAAAAGAAACTTGTTGGATTAAAAGTTTCTCGTTGGCACAACTTAAAACTTTATATCTCATGACAGAGAATGAGCAATAGCCTTTCTGAAATCACAGCTGCCATGCATAATTTTCACTTCATCGTCAGGGCAGTATTACTCAGTTTGATATTGTGGTATATTTTAGTTACTGGAATGATGCTCTTTTTACATCATTTTGTGACTCACCTTGTCAAGTTATCCTGTGCCGAAATCCTGTTATGTTACAATTAATCATGAAATGTTTATACGATTATTGGTGACAAGTTTATATTATATCACATGTGATCTACAGACTTATACAAAAAGCCACATGTAGCTACAGACCTATATTAAGCTTTGCCGGAACCATAACATGGTTTTCACCTGAGTAGATGTCAGATCTTTATCTGACCATTTTCAAATGCTCTAAAATAAGATGTTTAACTTTATCGTGTAAATTTTTGAGCATGGATCACGAAACATGTGCACACCGATATGAACATTTTGTCAATTAAAATTATTATCAGAGCTTTTGTCACCAACTGATCTTAGCCAGACAACGATTGAAGACCTCGAAGCACAGGATGGCTATTTAGTCCTAGTGTGACTCCTCTGAAGTGCGTAACCTCGGTCCATTAAAAGAGACCGAATCCTAAACCTTCCGTCTCACATGGAGATGCCTAAACTTTAAATCAATAAACCAGTACACAACTAAGAAGCGGTTGAAACTAGACATTTACGTTGTAGCATGCGGCTCAGTGGTTTAAAGGTTAGGTGTTTAGGCTCGATACAATAGGTCTTGAGTTTTATTCCCTTTGATAGATTAGTGATGCGTATTTTTGTAGATTCTTACACCAAAACTAAGCAGCCTTTCTATGCTTCCAGGTTTTCAATAATTATCTGGTTTAAATCAGTTCTAAATTTAAATTTTGCGAATTATACAATTGCCACAAATCTCCTATACTAATAAAATTATTATTTTACTTCTTAAAGGTACCGGATCATTTTCGTATTGTTGTTGAAGCAACACTTCGCGAATTTTTCAATGCACTTTATACTGGTAAAGATTCAGAACAATCATGGAAAAAACCAATTTATAAAGTTATAGCTAGAATGGATCAACCAGTTCCAGAATTTTTCAAAAGTCCTAATTGGATGGATCAATTAGCTGATGGATAAGTGAAAAAAGGAAAGGATATAAAAAAGTAATCAGTTGATTACTTATTCTTATGTTTTAAGTCATAAATATATCATATGCACGAATACATACTTGCTTAATAAATATGATCATCTTAATTCAAATAACAATTTCATAACATGTATTCATTATGAGTAATATATTTCATTATACAACTTAGAATTTAGTAAACAAAACAAAACAAATTACTTGTTCTTTCATTACCTATAAACTAAAATTGACAAAACAATCTGATTTTTTTTTAAAAAAACAACGACCTACAAATTTTAATTTATCTTTTATTTCTAAAAAAGCAATTGTATATTTAAATTGATTTTAAAATGACCAAGTTACTATCAGTATCTATAGTTAAAATAATCAATAATTTGTACTTGTTAAACTACATTGTACTATTAGAATAATAATAATAACAATCTATTAAAGTAATTATATTTCATTGAATATAATATTTTATTTCACCCTGAAAAAATTTTCATAGATGTTCTCTTTCTTTTGTTCAATGTGTATCATTATTAGTTTTACAAGTGTACAGTTATTATAAATTAAATTATTGAGTAAAATATATTGATTATAAAATGTTTTATCTTTTTTCCTACTTTTTTGTTTAGCATTATAACTGTAACCTACGCTAGGATATATACTAAGATTAAGTATATGATCAGATATCATAGTGTATTTATTAATTTTTAAGATAAAATCAAGAATTTTAACGCAACAATATTTCCCTGTCCAATAATCAATCCATGTATTGGATCATATGTTCAAGGTTTCTTGAATACTTTTGTGTATTACAGTATAATTTTTCAAAATGGTATTTGAAATGGGAGAGTAGGTTACTGAATTGATTATATAGTTGTAAAGATTTATTGAAATTGTGAATTCGTTTCCATTAATTTGTAAAAATTGTAGTATTGCTAAAATTCAGGTATTAGTAGGTGTATATTTCAGTTTAGTTTAGAATTTTCGGAATTGATTATACTTGGTCTTCTGAAATCGATTCACAAGCCATTTTAATGCTATCATTTGAGTTCAAGCTTTGAACATATGAATTATTTAGATTTAATGAATCTTAATAAGAAACATGTAAATCGCCAGAGTTATGTGAGTATTTGTTAAGCAAGAAACGGTTTTCCTTTATCTCAAAGCATAATGGTAACTGCGTGTAAGGAAAGCTAAATCGATCAATAATGACACAAAACATGGCAAGAATGATTAACTTTTTATGTTGTCGGACCTCATATCAGCACACTAAGAGAGCAAGACAATAAATTTAAAAGCAAATAACAGTTAATTTTCACTTCCGTACAGATTTGAACATGAGAAGTACGTCTTACAAGAAAAATGAGTTCAAAGAGTAAAAGTTTAACAATGATAGTTAATTCTAGATTGGGGTAAACATATATATTATGGATGCAACTCCATAGCTACAAGTAAACCATTATCACCAACGATAGATTCCGAGTATTGCAAGAGACCCAACTAAAAAATCGACTAACATGTCCTAGATTAGCACTCAATAATGTCATGGACTGACTCCATGTCATGATTTGGTCACACCCAGATGTCTTTTACCATACTTCTACCATCGTAGGCATTACGTATCGTGGTAGGCAGTGACTAGGTATACGTTATACATGCCTTAGCCTCCCAAATCAATGACGGTTTATAGTCTCATCGAACTTCCGTCTAACCTCAGAATTGCCCAATCAACTGTTTCATCAGATATTATTAGTGTTTTGAAGATATCCACGGTTAAATATTATTAATCTAATGTTATCCTCTACATTCAAATACCACATTTTTCAGGCGTACATAAATGTATGAGGATTACTAAGCAGCATACTCACATTCAAATGGATAGACAGATATTTCATTTTCGCCACAAGCGATTCAATATTACAAGAATCACTTGAGATTTTCTAACTGTTCTGAGACTTTATCAGTAGCTCATGAAATCTACAAGATAGCTGAAATACATAATTACTACGATTACCTCCCTCCCTGTAATTAAACTAGACAATGAAATATGCATTTTCAAAAGCACTATTTAGCGATTATAGGAAAATAAATATATCCGAAACGTCCTGGCATCGATTCTCGAGACGTTCAGAAGGCTAATATTATGTCTGCATCTTTTCTAACAGAAATACATCGTCAGCACACCCCAGGTTTATAGTTTAATCGCCTGGTAGAAAAATAATTCACAAAAGTCAGGCTCAAATCCTTATCGTTTAAGCCGTTGGAAAACCAAGATGAAATGTGAAAAATGATATCAAATACTGTAATTTTTCTATATAATTTCTATTGTCGACAATTTATAATGAAATTAACTATTAATTTCATCTGATTCTTATCCCAATCATGAAGAGATATGTTCAGTAAACTACCAGATAATTCAATTTGTAATATGAATGGAACGTTCACCTTGCTCACTTCAGAGAGGATAATTAATTCTAATAACATCTGAATATACATTATTATGTTACTGTTGCTTCGCTTCTATACATGCTTTACATAAGAATAAAATAGCAAATCTGATTTACTGACCTATGTTGAATTCTATAAACTCTATTATATTAAAGCACAATGAAGTATTTTTATTTTATATATGCCTCAAACATATCTCTATCGTCTTCCTAAAGATTCTTTCAGCTATAATTAATATGAATTAAAATGATACTTTTGTAATGTCAGTTATCATGGGTGCATGAAATATACATATTCAAAATCCAATCTCGTATTTGACTTATTTAATTCCGTTACTGACTAACTCGATCTAAGTCAAGAATTCTACACAAGGAATGACGATATGTATATATCACAACAGCAATCAAAAACAATCAAACTGGAGTCACATCCCGGTTCATTAAACTTTCGTAAGATTATTACTCTATGAAAATGAGTTTCATGGACTATGCTTCGTAAATCAATTTAGATGTAATAGTTAGTAGAGTTAAATTTAACAGATTTACATTTAGTTAAATGAAATAAACGATTACATAACTATTTGTTACATTATATACAACTCAATGAAATAGTAAACTGAAGAGAATTATTTGAAGAATAATGAAATGTTAACTACAATTCTTTTTGTGAATAAAATGGTTTAGTATCATAATCGGTTTTGAAGCTTGAAGGTTGTATGTATACATTGTTATGGAATATCATAATAGAATACAGAAATATAATTAATTTCAATAGTTGAGATCATGAGTCGATTGAATATAGACCACCATAGAAAATCTGGAAGCGCTGGAAGGCGGTTTTGCCTCATTGTGGGACTCCTCAGCAGTGCGCCCGCGAGCGCTTTACCACAAGACCACTAAGCCGGCCGGCATCCAACGGTGTTAATGTCTAACTTCAACAATTCAACGAAATTGAGTGACACATCCACCATTGTTATCAGTGAGTTACTATCTCACAATAGGTCCAGTTGAATTCCACTGGTCACTGATTCTTACTAGAACGCCAGGAAATACTTCTTTAAGCCAGTCACTAGTGAGAATATGTTGAATAATATCAGAAGGGGTTTTTGTGGATATTATAGTTCGAATCTCCTGAGGCGGGGTCGTCGATGTGCACTGCTGAGGAGTCTCACAAGAGGACGAAACAGCCATCCAGTGCTTCCAGGTTTTCCATGCTGGCCTAGCTTTAATTGACTCATGATATCAACTATTGAAACTACTACAATCTCCACAAAACCCCTTCTAACACAAAAATATTTAAATTAAAAATATTATCTTGAAAGTATATTAATAATTACTTTACGTTTTTTCATCTTTTGAATTTTCTTGCGTGTTTCACACCAATTCTTTCTTTATTATTTACTATTAAAAGATGTAGATGAGAAGATAATTAACTTTTTGATGCATAAAAAATGAGAAATAAATTCTTCATTTGATAAAAATGATTACTTATTTCCGGAAAATTTTGAAAGCTTATGGAATATATATATATATATATATATATATATATATATATAATAGAGTAAACGGAATGTGTCAATGTTGGGCCTATTTCCTTAATTATCACATTAATAATAATAAATACATTTTGCTTAGTCATCAATGCGTGTCTCACATGCATGTATGCAAGTTCATGAATGTAGATGTGTGATTATATACGTATGTTCAGTACCTAGAAATATGTAATCCCTTATTTATAAACAAATATCAGTAATGTAAAACCAATTAATTCAGAACGTACATTTTCCATTTTTATTATGTGTTTAACTACCTATGAACGTCTAACATAAGATAGTAAAATAAATACAAGTACCATTGAGTAAGAACTTATTTATTAACTTATATTAATCTGTACAAGAAAGTTAAAACAATTTACATAACTAGTTATCATTATTCTGACGGCCATAATAAATCCAACACAACCGGCCACATATTTTGTCATTTCCTATTTTCAACACTACTACTTCGATAATTAATTCAACTAGTTTATTTGGAGATGGGAAATTGATTTCAAGGGATAGGATATTTGTCGGTGAATTTGTAGCACATCTGCTTTTCAGTATCCAGTATGTGTGAGATATAACTTTATTCGCTTTACTAACTCAGTAGGTTGAGATGCACTATAGTGTCCTGTTTACTTAATACGTGTACAAATGGCTTTAAATGGCTGAAATGAAATCTCCGATAAAAATTAACTTATATACAGTTCTGACCCATTAAAGGAATTTAAAAAATCACCTAAAATACTAGGCATTGCACTTAATTGTACATTCATAGGTTATTTATACTTACACGATTTTAGTAATTTTTAGACTTTATATGAGCTCAAGTTCAAGACAAAATGTATACTAAAAGTATGGTCGATCAACAGTTTATTTCACTAATTATTGAGTGCAATATCAGTTGATGGTGAGACTATAATTTATGGACGACATTTGAGCGACGTTAAAGTGACCTTGAAAGTGTCCACCTAATAGCTTGGACCAAATGAGTGTTATGAAACATTGTGGGGGATTAGATTTATGATTTTCAGTTGATGGTTAAAGTTAGAAATTAGATTTAGGGTTTTCATCACGAACTAACATAACCTAAAATGCCAAAACTCAATTAATCCAAATAGATGAGTGAATTTTGCGCCGAAATCCGAGGCCTGTTATCTTATACCCGATTGGTTTGTCCGTAAATTATAGTCTTGCCCAGTTGACTTCCGACTGCAATAATAATTCTTATGCAAAAAGGATTTAACAAGCTATTTTTAATAACCTATACTTTATCATAAACACTGGTGATGTATTGCGTGATAGACTGACTAGAGCAGTCAAGAGAACGTTTAATGCTGCCAACCTCTGTCTATCGTATTC